TTTTTTTTAGAAAAGTTTGGGTGGGTTGTTATTCCTCATTAACAATGAAGAGGCCTAATTAAATCTGCAACTATACTTATATTGCTTCTTTAACCAATTGTTTTATGTTTAAATGGTGTAATCTATCCAATTGCATGTGAAAGAGCTGTCCTATTTCTTACCTTATATGTATGTTCAGATTATTTTACTAATGGTTTCGACTAATCTAAATCTCACTCTCTGATTTATCCAGGTTTGACAAGACAGACAACGATCCCAAAGTACGATCCTAATGCGGTCAACCAGTTGACCTCGAGTTTCCTTGACCCCTCCAAGTCCAAACTCGGGGCAGGAGGTGCCACTGGTGGGATGTATAACCCTGACCAATGGAACACCATTAGCTTCAATATGTTCAACCCTCAGTCTCAGCTCGGCAGGCGTCGTATGTTGCAAGCTCATGTTTATTATATGTATGTTAAATGGCGGTTGTATTATAGTACGTGGCAACGATGGATTCTTCCCTTCAAATAAACAGCATACCATTTAAAAAACAATGACTTATACGTTTTAAATGTAAGCATTTGATTATTTAACCAATGCTCGTCAAGTACGATATAACTCGTGTTTCTGTTTAAGATGTTAAAAGACAAACTGCACAAATACCAAGTTCTGGTGGAAGTACATCGCCTTCTAGTGGCACGGCCTCTGGTGGAACGCCTTCTGGTGGATCGACTTCCAGTGGATCATCATCTGGTGGATCACCTTCCAGTGGATCTGGTTCTAGCGGGTCCAGTCAGACCGGAGGAGCCACTCAGATGACACAACCTAATATGTTTATTAACCCTGGGGCATTTATGATGGGAGGCGGGTCACCTTCGTCTCCAGGTAGCGGCGGAGGAAGCAGTAGTAGCGGCGGAAGTAGCACTGGTGGAAGCGGAAGTAGTGGATCATCAAGTTCGGGTTTGATACCGTCATTTGATCCAAACAAGTTAAACCAAATTCAGGCAAGCTTCTTGGATCCTTCAAATGCTCAACTAGGACAAGGAGGGGGAGGCGGGTCTGGCTTTAATCCTGATCAGATCAACAGCCAAGCGTTCAATTTTTTCAACCCTAACCTCATGATGGGAGGAGGCGGACGCTGAGGTAAACTACGGCATGAAAGTTATCTATATACTTACCTTACCTCATACGTTATACGTTATGGTTCATTACTTATGTGAGTAACTGTGAGGTGATACTCAAGTGTACACGGGTATAAGCAATTATACTAATACTGCTGTTATTTACATTGTGTTAGTACATTTTTTAAAGAAAATCTTTGAACATATTCCTGCAAGAAAGATTTTTCGACAGGGAAGGGGGTGTTCATGATGGAAATAATACAAGATGCATTTTTAAAAGAAATCTCAACAATAATTAAGCATCTTCTTTATAATCAAATGTTAAGAAGAGAGGTTAACTCAAAGATATTTTAAACGAAAAACTGAATTTTATTTGTTTTTGTATTTTCCCCCAATGTTCTAGCCACACAACAGTACTAAACCTAAACCTGATATATACTGTTGTCAAAACATACGTCCCGTTTATGTTTCAGTGAGACGGCAGCAGGGATGACATCTACTACATTTATATATAATTTGTTGTACATTATAACTGTAATAAACATGTGAAAAAATCCAACGGTTGTTGTCACGTTTATTCATACTTCACCGAGCTACGGAATACATCCGTGCTCACCATCTCCCTTTGTTAAACATGTATTCGAAGATAAATGGGAGAATGCGATGATCGTAAGTTAATGTTAGATAGATATCTAAAGGAAAGATACCGATTTACATTTATGATTTTCGTTCAAAGAAAGCAGCTCAGGGTATAATAACAGTTGAGAGAACGGCTATTGATAACAGCAAGAAAATCACAAAAACAACTGTTTAATTGTTGGTTGCCAGTCTCTGGACAATTACTGAACCAGGTAGTAGATAATGCAGTATTTTGGTATATGTAAGTCCGCACATTCATGCAAATTATACAAAATCCAACATCGATATCGACAACATAGAGTATTTGTAAGTCATCAACGGTATGATAATGACACCAGGGAATACCAACAAGAGTCCTGTACGTGTAGTTAATTATCTATGGGACCCTATCAACTCTCACTGGTTCCGAAACACGGCGAAAACAAATACTCAGTTAACATTGTTACACCCGTTCTTATAAAAGGGTTTCATTAAATGTGTTCCTAATGGTGATCATACGTAACATTGGTAATGAGCGATTGTTTGTAAAACATGGCGAGATGCATGTTAGAGACCTACTAGACACTGTGATAGTACGGAGATATACTGTAACCACCTGTTGAGTGTCCAGCCGTAAAGTGTAAAGCTGGGGACATACTATAACTGTCACAATTGGATCCATTCCCTCCACCATGGTACGTATACGATACTTTGTGTACACAAACTATCTTTTGAACACGGGCTGGCTGTACAAACAGAACGTATTACCCACAGGACAACATACAGTGTACTTTTCAATAACAGAAGCTCCGTTTTCAAAACCACTCATGTGTAACAAGCTGGTGTTATTACTGTAACAGTAGGTAGTAAAATAGTACATTTCTGTCAGGGTTCAAAGTCGGGACACATGCTCATCACGAATAGAAATGGCAATGGGCATCATGAAGAAGAGTACGTTTTCAGCACCGAGGAGATTAAGTTTTTTCCGGGGGCCTTCAGAAACATCCAACATCGGATCAGAATACTCGGACCCTGATATTCATGTCCCAAGCAAGGTCAGAAATTAATAATATCTACGTCACATCATTTATGTAAAACAGCTGTTCGCGTTACGTTTATATTGCATGTTTGTAATGTAGCTGAGTGCGAGCCTTATGTACCGGAGACAAACGTTATTTTTTCTTTTCGAAACATGGCTTAACTGCAGACTTTAGACTTCATAACAATTTATCAAAAGGTTAAAAATAGAACTATTTCATTTGATTATCATGCGTTCTTCAATAAGTCGTGAGATAGACCATTTCTCTCGCTATTCGCAGAATTGTCGCAGAATTGTCTCCCGGTCGACCTCTTTTCTCTGTAGGGTATGATTTCCCAGTGCATTAAAATGATCAAATTTCATGAAAGCTCATGCGCAAATCAGGTAAAAATACAACAGATGCTTCAAAAAACTATTTTAAAGCATAGTATTGAAAAAATGTGAGAAAAGGCATCATTTCATATTACGAGAGCATGCCTGATATATTTGAACCCTTATGGTGGAATTGTTGTATTTCTAACCTCGGTTAGAACTCAGCCTCCGGATAGAAATCAAGAACATCACCCATCGTGTTGGTATTTTGTTCGTCATACCTTGATTACAAGGTAAGATTGTATTGATCATATGTATGTGTATTGACGGCACTGTGTCTAATAACGATACAGGATACTTATGACGGAATCTGTCAACAGTTCTAGATATTTACACCTCCCTATTTTGCTGCAACGCAGTACACTTTGACCGCTCTTAATCAACTGCTGAATGATGTTTACGAATATGCATACATTGGTATCAGTTACTACATGTAATTACTAGAAATACGAAGTCATGAAACACCAATTCAAATATTTAGAAAATCGATGCATGAAGCCAAACAAAGTAAATATTTACTTCACAAATTAGAAATGTCGTCCATTAACAACTCAACAGTTTCACTAAAGGAAAATACTGAAAATCCATGTCTCAAACATTCTGAAACAAGGAATATATCAATAGGGCAATGTGCCTATGAAACCTTTATAACAAATTTAAAACATTTGGAATTTTAGCAATTGTAAATTAGGTGATTATTAGTGAACTCATATAATTAACCTATTTCAAGGAAGATACCTCTTGCATATTTTGTTGGCCACAGTCATGTTGAATTAAAGGCCATGTGTGTCACCAGGCCTATACAAAGCTATGCATCGTTTTTATCGCTTACATATCTACATTCTGTTCTTTAAATGTCGTATTTAAATATGACTTATCAGGTTTTTAAATTTAGAGCGACCATGCCATCTTAAAATTGTTCATTAAATCAGGTTTCCTTACAACTTGCATTCTGGAAATAAATGCCGTTATTAGTCTTTATTGTAACAACAGTTTTAATACAACCACACACAAACAAACAAAAATGTTCGGTCATGTATCTTGTTTTCAGACGAGAACAAGATACGTGCCCGACCTACCTCGCTACTGCACAATATATTTTTCCCGCTAGTATACTAAAGTATATTTGGAAAAGTGTATTTACGCCTACACATGGACATATACCCTGACATACAACATGTGATCGTTCTCTTATAACCTGTTTTATAGACGCAACGATCGAACAGACACCTATCAAATTATGTTGACGACAGCATGCTCATTAAAACAAACCAGCTGTCGTTTCGTTCTTTCATCGATTTATTCTCACCTGCTGAAGTACTTGACGATGTACATTTTCTTGAATCAAGCTAATAATTTTTGTAATCTTCACGTCATTACTGTCTTATTCTTACATGAGAATTAAAACAAAATATTTGCTCATTTACAGATTTATCATATTACCAGAATATCTGGTTTACTTATTGATCTATGAGAAAGATATCTTATATCAAAGTGAAAAAGAAACAAATGTACCAAATCGTCAATAGACCAGAACAAAATCCGAACTTAAAGTTGGTATAAAAACTACTGAAAATGATAATGCACCTATATGTAAGCAACAAGAAAGAGATCATGAACTTCATACCATAAACCAGAAACAAAATCTTCAATCGTGACAACCACTCACATTGTATAGGTGAAATTCATGCTTACAACCGTAAAAATAAATAAAGAAAACTTTCTTCTTTCAGAAAACAAAAGCAGAAGCATCTATCCAGAAACCTCATGATTCTTTGAACACTTCCTCTGAAATAACTTTTTAACTGTGACATGTAATTGGAATGTTACCACTGATGGAAAGAAATATAACGAACATGAAATTAATTTGTCGGATTTTTCTATTTACTTTCCCACCGTATACCATACTGCTTTAATACTGATTAATATTTTGTGCTTGTGTAACCAGATAATTTCGAATTTTATCTGTCCTTTACCAATTCCTGCAATTCTTTTCAATCAATCATTATATATCCTAGAAATAGGAATGACAAGATTTAGATACAAAAGCATGTTTTTACAATTGTAATACGTTGCAACCTTAATGTTTATTTAACACTGTTACACCCCGGTATACATCCAATTTGTCATTTATAACAAACCAATTCAATGAATTATATAACATTAAGTATGTTACCGCTAGGGGCTCTCAGCATTCATTACTTCACATATAGTGGTCAGTATTGTAATGTCACGGAAATAAGCAGTGTCTTCTTATAGTACCATTCGTCATATATTTACAGTTGCTCAGTCGCCTGAGGTAGGTAAATAAGATACCGGAATGAGTCGCGCTTACCTTCCTATCGTGGAGCCTAGTGTTTCTCTTTGGGTCTGTCATCCTCGAAACGCTTAAGCCTAGGCATACGGAGATGATGTTTATAGATGAATGGGTCAATCAATGACCGCTTTAATATGTCATGTCAAATGTCATACCCTGGGCACGGTAGCATGACACTCCTCTCGATCACATCTTTCTGACCAGGGAATGAGTTGGTGCACTCTCACAAGACATGCCAAAGAGAAATGCCACCATCTGCCACAGAAATTCTTCGTTAAATCATCTGTTGATCGAAATATAAAAACGCAGACCAACGCTTCAATCAGTCGAATTGGTCTCACAATTTTCCGAAACATACTTTGTCGACAATGTCTATAGTTGAGGTATTCGTTCAGTATATTGCTGTAACAATACACGTTTAGATGAACCATTTGAATTATACCTCGACATTAATGGCTGTTAACTCCGAACAAACAAAATGAACGTGTACCTTATTTTCGAAACGCTCTTGTTTTACATATAAATCATCGAGGTCTCGTTTATTCCACCACTATTGAAACTAATAATGGGGTACTACTCAATACTTTAAAATGTTTAATGAAAAGTACTGTTTGAAACTATATTATAAAACTGTTTCTTTTACAGGTCCATCAGTTGACCAAAGAACAGATTACAGGTAGGCACCCCCATAAAACGGATTACAACAGGTTGACACCCTCCTTAATACTAATTATAACAGGTAGAAACCTTCCCTTATACTAAATATATAATGTGGGCACCCTCCCTGATACTAATTATAGCAGGTAGACACACTCCCTTATTATAATTATAACAGGTAAGAAACC